CTGTACTACAGCAGATCTAGAATGGCGTTGGCCCTGAAACTAATACACATTTGTAGATCGACTTTTCGGGCGCTCCACGAGTTGGCCTTTCTCGACAGATGGCAGGATGGAACAACCGCGAGCCGTTCTCACCCCCAAAGGCTGAGCTCCTAGAGAGGTTAGGAATACTAAGCTCAATCGTGTGGTCTGGCTCCTGCGAGCACTCTGTTCAAGAATGTTTTCCTTCTACTGTTCACCATAACACTGCACCTCACTGGGAAACAGAAACCATGAGAAACACTCGGTAAGTACGGATATCATGTTGTGGACCCTTGCGGATCTCAAAGGACGAAATCAATGTCTTGCATCGGCTGTGACGTCTCCTCTGCCATTTGCTTCTTCAACCACCTTGATATAAACCTACTATTCAGTCGGGAGCAACACGAAGATACTCACTTGAACCTCTTGAGGTCCTTCCGTCCAATCTCCATGCTCTCACCATCGAGGAGTGTATCTAACCTCAGAACACCATGTTCTGCGACGGTGACAATATCGACCCACCAGGTGCTGATTCCGAATCCATAATCTTCCTCAGGATGCTCAACCGCGCCTCCTTACCACCACCTTCCTCCTCGTACCTTATAAATATCTCAGCGGAGCGATGCAGATTTCGTTCCACATACGTTTGAGCCCATTCCATCCAATGCACCCTATAGACCAGCCACCCCAGGGAGGACAGCGTGCTATGGTACATTTTAACTGACTCCAGATACCTGCAACAGCGACCCTAAGGGAGGAGGGCCTGACTACAACGATCGCACTACTCGTTGGTAGAGAAATAGAACTGCGTCGGGCCGTCTATGAAGATGCATTTCTTTCGATCATCATCGAACTGCTCAGAATCATGTATCTCCTTTTCCTCAATGCCAATGTCGATAGTGAACGGTCCTGAGCTCCACCCTACAACATGATGATGCTATCCAGTTGTCCTACCCCAACGAAAGGAGTTCCTATGGGCAACTTGGAGCTCCGCTAGATGCTTGGAAACGTCCCTATGCATCGGACCAGGTTTAATATTACCAAGCCTGAGGAGCACTGTGTAGAAACTCACTGTGAAGATTTTCTAGCTGTGAAGGCTACGCTATACTACCATCAACTGTGAAAATACGTAGATTCCTGAAATCTTCACTTGTTGATTATGTATAATCTCATATGAGTTTTCAATAGTTTATAATATTACGTTCGTATACATATTCCTATGGATAATCCTTTATCAATAACTATATATGAAATTTCATATTAAATAGAATATATAAATAACTATCTATATTTCCCACTGTTTATGAATACGCGGAGTAATAAAAAAACTTGACCAACGTGACGTGTTGATGTAAACCCCACCACTCCCCTTACGGTATGTGCCTCATAGACAGCCGAGTATAGAACTGTCTTGCCGGCCGAGACATGTTGAACCAGACCTAATACGGCTATGAGCACCTGGTGCTACGACAGATCATACGCTCGGATGATGAACTCTACAGATGACTGCCGCACGATACGCTGCATGGAGATGATTGGGTCGGGCGGTCTGTTGAACTCTCCTAAACCTGCCAGGACAACTAAAATGACCTCCAGCCATCTTGGAGTACCTCTCCAGTATGTAAGCCCGCATATTGTCGTTCCATAGGGTATATCTAAACAACTTGCATCATTCAACTTGTGTCACCACCCCTGTCACCACCCTACATAGCCGTTGGGCTCACCACCGCTCTAAAACCCTGCGCGAAGAGCTCCTCATCGTACTTGCTCTGCGCTACCTCCGAGAACTGCTTCCTGAACCCACTGTTGTGCTTGCCCGTACCGAAGAATGCCAGGCAGTTTGCAATCTGACCCGGGCGATAAACCAGGTGGAGTAGTGGTTCGATAATACTTTACAAAAATCCGTTGGCCGAATACTGTCTCTTCTTTCCATCACATGCTTTGCAAATTCCATCAGATCCGACTTGTGCTGAATCGAGCGAGGAATGGTAAGGACCCCAAAGCACAGAGGCTTTACTACCGGTTGTATCTGGACGCGTTTCATAGCCCACAGAGTAGCCATTACGGCATGACTCGATAACTGGGGTAGTAGTTGCCTCGCGCGATCGAATAACGCTAAGTACACCTCCTTAGCATTAGCAGGGAGGTACAGGGACTTCCCATACCCCCAAAGGACGTACCTGAGACCATTTCAGCGTCACCAGTAATTTCGTGGTGCGCGGTCATAACCAACGCATACCCTATGCAGTTTTGAACTATATGCTCGCTTTCCTCAACTGAGCTCAGGAGTTTCCTCACATAAGAAATCGGGTAAGAGTGAACAAAAACCACCGAGAATTTCCCAAAATTTCCTCGAAATTTTCATATTGTCACCAACACCCAATGTCCTTCATCCCCTTTACCCAATGTGCTCCGGGGGTATCTCATCCAATAGCTCCAACAAACGTCGAGTAAATCCCCTCCACAACTCAACATCGTGCTTCCTCAACGACGCCGCTTTCTGCACAGCCGCAGCCAGATACGCTGCATCCATCAACGAAGGGTCTGTTGTTATCGTCACCGCCTACCATAACAACCATTCCTCCTCATACACACGTTATACTCCTCACTGTGGCTAGCCGATATTGCCGAACTCGCTGCTGTGCCCAACTCCTGAACCTCCTATTGTGCTTGTTTATAGCGTATCTTACGCACGCAGAAGAATTCCTTACTAATTCTTACTACGCATCTTACTGCTTCAGACGAGCCTCATATTTCACCGCCCTAAGCATGAACGCTTCTGTCGTCCTAATCCTTGCATGGAATATGCCACCTCGGCCCCACAACGGTGGGGATAATCGTAGCATTCAAAAAAACAACTCTCCTTGAGTATTAACTACTACTACTACTACTACTAC